CCTGGCACTTAAAAAGTAGTCCAGCCGGTGTCTCAACTTTACCAACAGCGAGAGGAGACATACAACCCACTGGCCATCGCCAACTGTCAACTGGGGGGTTGTAAACGAGGCCGAAGGGGTGAAGGCTTTTGTGCAGGCCTATCGGGTGACAGTGTTCGAGTCTGGTCTCTTTGTGAGTGAGTCGGGTGTTTTGGGAGCATCACCCGATGGACTTGTGCAGCCATCTGCCCTGCTGGAGGTGAAGTGTCCACACAGCCAGAGGAACATGACCATCACGGAGACAGTCCAGTTACCATCCTTCTGTCTTTGTGAGGAGGGTGGGTCATATATTCTCAAGGAGAATCACCCATACTGGCACCAGGTCCAAGGGCAGCTGCACATCACAGACCGGAGTCTCTGCTACTTTGTTGTGTGGACCACGAAGGAGGCGATCATCATCCCCATCCCCAAAGACCCTGCATGGCATGGAAATCTCCTCCTCCTGGAAAAATTCTACACCCAGCATATGCTCCCTGTGTTGGCCAGTAGAGAGGAGGACATTTAAATAAACATACTCTTAACACCCTCGGACTCTGCGTTGTGTTTCGTATGTGTGATGGGGACTTATGCAGAGGGGAGGAAAACAGGACACAGCAGATTGGGATTGTGGTGGAGATGCTGAGCAGTTATTTAATTGTTGCATGTAATTATTATTATACTGCGTGCTTCTTAGTTATTCCATCTTTTGCTGTAACATGGATCTGTATGTAACTCTATATTTACTTGTTATCTACCACACTTCCTTCTACATCATACACCATCATTATACATGATGGTGTATATAGGATATATATATTTGTATACATATCTGTAAATTGTTTAATTTTATTTAAACGTATTTTTGATCTCTCTGTCTATAAACACAAACTGAGGAAGATTGACAATAAAGTTGACTTTGAAAAATATATATATTCTTTATGAAAATAGTTGACTGTTGTCAAATGAATCCAAATGAAACGTTGGACTGAACTACAACTACGCCTTTAAATCTCTACGGACTGTTTTTCAGTTGGATGGCAAGTTCCTATCTTTAAACATTTATTAGTTTTTTCTCAGAACAGATTTGATTTTCTGAAGTTAATTTAACTTTGCCGACCATGTAAGGTCATTATTAAAAGGTACAATCAATTTGTTTAGGGTTGACTAAAATAATGAAAAACATTCATTTGGATAATTTACTGACAGAATAAGAAACTCAATGATGCTCTACTCACCTGTTCCTTTTTTATAAAGTGAAACAGTTGAAACGATAGATTTTAGTAAACTTAAAAACAACCTTCTCCAAAAGCTATCAAGGAATATACCGAATACTTGTTTTAGAACTTTATTACATATTTTTATATAAATAGTTTGAATGATCCATAATTGACAGAAGCTTGTGTTTACACTGACCTGTTACTCATATATTAATGTCTTTGTAACTTCAGTAAACCACTACCTCACTAATTTCTTTCATTCATCACGGTTCAGTAAACTAAGTGATACATGAACCAGTTTAATCATTATAATAACGTAGGATTGCAACTCTTTGAAACTGTAGGTGGCTCTTAAAAGAGCCATTGTGTTTGGGTGTGCTGGTCTCAGGTCAGTCTAAGCCCTCTCTCCGCGGATGCGGCGGGCCAGCTGGATGTCCTTGGGCATGATGGTGACCCTCTTTGCTTGGTTCATCTTACTGGGGGGCAGCTACATGGATGTCGGTGCAGTCCACAATTATTGTGCAGTTGAAGGCAGAATGAATTTATTATTGACTCCGAATGAAGCACAACTTCATGTCATACAATACATTGACTTTATTTGTAATTGTGTAAAAAAATATGAGCATTAATTAGCAAGCAGGACCTGCAGGAACAGAGAATGGTGATGGATGGAGCTGGGGAGAGAGAAGAATAAAGAAAACAGATCAACTTTATTATCGGATATTACAAATTCAATTTCAAAACAAGTTGCCGCTCCTACAGTTTTCTAGTATGTAAAGATGATTTCACATGACCTATGCAAAATATCACACTCAATACATGTGTGTCTCTGGGGGGTGCATTGTGCCTTTGATGTATATAAATAATATACCATAACCAAATACTATTACGTACAGTGGAAATCAGGTTGCCAGAGCAGGTCAGTGTGCATGTTCCTCAACGTCTCAGCAGTTACAGGTGAGGTAAAGAAAATAAAAGAGAAAAATGTCAGTAACAACACTTAGTTTAAAGTAACAACACTTCGAAACACTTTGAATAATTATCTCTTCTAACAATTTTCTCTCAGTAAGCACACAATGACTGTCTTTCCAACAAACAGATTGACTCACTCTCACTGTCATCACAATGAAACACGTCCAGAAGAATGTCATGCAAAGCTCCCTGCCTGCCTTCGACTCTCCCTGAACTGCTTCCTTAGCACCCAGTGGAGGGCGCAGTAGGCTACTCTTCAAATGTTTCACGAAATACTTACCATCATGACTACTCTTACTGTTTAACATTTTGGTTTACTTCATGTAATAAAATAACTTCATGGTAAGGCTACTAAAAATAACAAGGCTAAATAATGTAATGCTAACTAACGTGCTCGCTACTCGTCGCTACTAGCTAGGTAGCTAACTTGACTATGTTCCATGCACAACATGTATATTACCTATGATATTACCTGATATGTCTGATCCAGCGACTCCTGGTCCTTTCATCAGACGGGAAGCGATAGAACGAGCAAGTGGTATGATCACTTTTGTGATTACAACCTGGTACAAAGCACACAGGCATCTTGTAAAAGTGAACCAACCACTTGGAGCATTATCGCCGGTGACATCACTTACGCGACCCAGAATGGGATTTGTAGTCTTTGTAGTCGCGTATTTTTCATAGTCTTATATTTCAACAGTTTTACGACAAAATGTGACTTTTTTGACATGGAAATGATTGTTTAAGATTGACAAACATTATATGTGTAGTTCGTGGCACAATTCAAACGGGATCAAAAGATACGTTTTCTCTCTCCATTGAATTCAATGTATAATATTTCGCTTCCGGGGTCCCATGGACCGGAAGTAGATGGGCGTGACTTCGCCTCTCTATAGTAACTCAACGAGAGAGTAATGTCAAATGACAGTACAATTGACCAATCATATCTTCCCTCTAAATGGGCGGGCTTTATTTTCGCGGACTTTATGACAAGTTCCGCTGTGAGGTCTATGCAAGTGGTGCAGTGACGCGTCCTAAAACCCGGAAGTAAGCTGCGCTCGGATTCCCTCGACAGAAAGCAGTGGGATTTCTCCATAGGGTTTTGGAAAATCGCTCGAAATAAGGTCTGTGGAAAACGGTTGTGTTCAGCCGGATAATATCCACATGTCTATCCTACTTTTACTATTTTTGAATCATAAATCTAATCGATAGATTTCAGTGGCGAACCGTCAGGGCCTTCAAGGTATTCAGAGAATACCCTGGAACACTCAGATAAAACAAACAAAATATCGATTTAATTATAGAAATAAAATGTAATAACATTTAATAAAATGTATATAAAATGAATAAATGAGAATCGTATCTGTGTTGTTGATCTGTAATATTAAAGTGTTACGTTGATTTGTTTGTCCTTCTCGGACCATGCACTACGCATTTCAGTGGTTTTCTGTTAGAAAATAAAGCAACCAATCCGATCTTGTTCTGGGTCTCTGGGTAGAATATCCTTCAACCAAGGTATTCTACATCCTTGATCGAATGCCCTGGCCATTGCACTGAATGAGAGCATACATTTAGACTGACAGTTTGATCAACCAATCATATATTGATTTGTAGCCAATGGGCGTATTCTTTCAGAGTTCCCCTCGGTTCCAGGGTCCTCTAGAACAGTGGTTCCCAACCTTTTTTGAGTACTGTACCCCCAAAGCATTTCAAGCCAACCTAAAGTACCCCCTACTACGCAATCAATCGTGGTGATCCCCAGGATATATTAATAGTCTACACTGTAAAAAAAGATCGTAATTTTACAGGAAATAACTGTAAATTTGTATAGTAATTATCATGTTTTTTTAAATAACTTGCAAAATCCTGTAAAATGACAGATATTAACTATAAATTAACAACCCAAAACATTATTTGAAGTATTTTGACAATAACAACAAATAACGTTTATTTCCTTTTTTTTTTACTGTAAATTTACTATATAATATTTACAGTATTTTTGCACTTTCAGAAAATACATGCAGATGTACGTAAAATAAAATGTTTTTATCTGTAATTAAATATGTAACTCGTAATATAAAAGTGTATTACTATTATAAGACTTTAAGATGTTCTTTGTAATTTTAAGGTAAACATAAAACTGTAAGAAAAGCGTAAGATAAAAAAAACGTAAAATGTAAGTAAAACATTTTTACATAAATCATTTTCTCAATATTCGATTGAATCCAACAAAAACACAAAATATCCAATGTTGAAACAAAAGTAAATAAATATGTTTTCATGAAATTCCTAACTAACTATATTGTAAACATCGACAGTTGACAATATCATTAAAAAAAAAATCATAGAAAGTGGAGAAATCTCTGCAGGGAGGACCAAGGTTTAAAACACACACTGTTATTTACTCAACAATAAGTCACAGTTATCCTTGTTTTATTTATGTGTTCTGTTGCTGTGTTTTTTTTCCATTGGTCAATTTACAGTAATAAACCTTAGTTTTACAGTATAATGTATGGTTTTCGGATTCTGGCCGACAGCCAGAGCTACGGCACTTGAAATAGAATTCAGCCAAAACACGGCAGACAAGTCAGGCATGTTTGGAATCAGTCCACAACACTCCTGATTGGTTCATATAAACATCATCGAAGAAACCTGCCAATGAGAACTGTCCGCGCCTGTCGTTCACATTTGAAACATCCAAGTCAGTTTGAGCGGGTCTCCTCCTGCTGGAGCTACAGCTATCTGTGTGTCTGCTACAGGAGTTTATGGATTCATATCGGGATCTTTTTACATCTACACGTTAAATATGAGCATCGGGACGTCAACAAAGAACAGAAGACTTGAGATCTGGTGAGTCCTGCAACTGTAATGGAGTTAAACATGTGTTTAGATAATCCTTACTTAGTTTGTGAATGTTTTATTTTTTATTTAAGGTTACGTTTCTTCTTCTAGTTAGCTGAGTTTCTTCCCGTTAAGTTGGTATGCATAATTAATAGGTTGTTAAATGTTAAGAAGCCCTGAGATGCTGTTTCTTGCAAGATGTTGCGCCCGGGAAACCCGGCTTAACATGCGGCTGCTAACGTTAGTTTACAGTTTATTGCAGTGCCGCCCCCCCCACCCTCTCGTCTCCAACACGGGAGAATTACACATAAACATGCAGTGGGGTGTCACAGTGTTGTCGCCAAGTTTAATGTAAAGTTTCACAGCTTTCTTACAGCGGAATCTAGTTTGTTAATGTTCAGTAGCCAACAGCTAGCATAGCATAAACAGCTAACCGCTAACGTTCGGCTAACTTGCTAGTTAACTCTGCTCTATATATTACACGCTAACATGACTAGCTAATGTCACACTGTGAACTAAAATACTTTTTGTATTACTACATCATACATGCTTGGTCCAAATCACTGCTAAAATTAATTATTTTTGAAAATGTATAGTAAAGAAACACTCAGCCATGCATGAAATAACATGGCAAAAGAATACGGGTAATGTTTGACCCATGTTGTGCCTTAGAAGTGTAGTGATACAAACATGATTTTTATTCAAAAAGTAAGAAAGGGACAAATAAAAATTAGAATTGGTGTTGATCCAAAACATGTTAATTGAGGAATACCTGGGATCCTGAATGGTTAAAGTAATTTATTGCAAAGATATTTACAATTAAAACTAATTCGGGTCACTTTTGACACATGTTGGTTGTATGTTGTGTAACAAAGGGTTAACATGACAGCTGTGATGTTCACTCTTTTGACCAGTGGACAGTGAGGACTATGGAAGAGAAGATGTGATGGCTTTGTGTGGAAAGCTGCTAACGCCAGCCTGTGTCCCTCATCAGTCTCTCCAGGCAGCACCCAGCTATTCTTCCATCTTGCAGATGAAAAGACTTTGATATGTGAGTAATAACTAACTTGTGTCTAACATAATATTGAATGTGGTTTAGTAAAGTATTTAAAAATACCCCACATTGTACATGTACAGGACAATCAGACCTTGTTCAACAAAGATCATCAGACAATTGTTTTGTCTTTAAGGTACAGCTGCAGCAGAGAGTCTTGAGTTTGAAGAAAACACTAACATTTTATTTAGTGTTGTTTAATCAATCAATATTTACTGGTCTTGAATTTCCTCACTGTATTACAAAATGCTCGAATCTTATTGTACAGGAACATTATGCAGATTTCATCACCTGAAGATAAAAATATAGATTCAGCGATATGTACCATTTTAAGGAAATAGACTGTTAGCGGTATTTACCAAAACTCCGCAGCTGTAGCTAGGCGCTGCTAATGAAAACTCAAGTGCTCAATTTGTTGGTTTTTCTTTTTTATTAAGAATTGACCAAGAATATCTTCCTCTTCGAAATCCCAGTTGTACTTCGCTAACACGCAGTGCCTGGGAGGGTGCGTTTGATTGTTCCCACAATAGTGCGTGCGTGCGCTTGTGCTTCAAAGGTCCATCATACAAGATGTAGGGGATCTATTGGCAGCTGCTGATAATAACATCCATCATTATGGTTTACTAATAGTTATCACTTCACTTCCTCCTCCAGCATCTGGACACAGCAGGAATCTACGCCAGGATCCTGTTTGTGGACTTCAGCTCTGCCTTCAACACAACACTCTGGCTGGAGGCTGCGCTCCATCAGGACCAACACCTCTCTCCCTCAGGACCAGAACCTCTCTCCATCAGGACCAACACCTCTCTCCATCAGGACCAGAACCTCTCTCCATCAGGACCAGAACCTCTCTCCATCAGGACCAAAACCTCTCTCCATCAGGACCAAAACCTCTCTCCATCAGGACCAAAACCTCTCTCCATCAGGACCAACACCTCTCTCCATCAGGACCAAAACCTCTCTCCATCAGGACCAGAACCTCTCCATCAGGACCAACACCTCTCTCCATCAGGACCAAAACCTCTCTCCATCAGGACCAAAACCTCTCTCCATCAGGACCAACACCTCTCTCCATCAGGACCAAAACCTCTCGCCACCTCAACAAGGCCCCCTCCCCCCCCCACTGACACTTTACCTCAGCCACAACGCAGACTCTATGCATTACATAATGGAGATCACAGGATGGTAAATAATGCAATGTTTAAATATTGCTTACTGCACATATTTTATATTCTATAATTTATTGCATTCTATTTCGATGTAAGTTACTGCTTTATTTTATTTCTATCTTACTATATTTTTATTACAGTGTTCTTAATATAGTTCGCTATCTGTGTACTTTTAAAAAAAATGTATTTGTATGTCGTGTGTCCAGGTGTCGTGGTGCACGACACCTAGTCAAATTCCTCGTACGTGTGAACCTACCTGGCAATAAACCCATTTCTGATTCTGATCGGTTTGTCCTCTAGGTTGCACTGCCATGTCTACAGTAGCGCAGAATGGACAGAGGAAACATGATTGGGCCTCAAGTTTTTTGCAGCCAATATTCATTATCCTACAGGGGCGGCTAGTGGAGTACTTCGTGACCACAAAGTGTGAACGTTGTGATCAGCTGTTTTAGCGCAGTTCTCCAGTGAAGGGGGGGGGGAGTCTCCCTCCGCAGCCGGTTGGCGTAGTTTGGGCACAATTCCGTTGTACAGACCGACGTTAACAGCAGCCCTGTCTGTGCACACGGAGACCGACTCTGTCGTCCGGTGATCTAACCGCCTTCTGGAAAAGCTTCACAAGTACGTCGGTAAGCAAATGCGCTTTGTGACACAAGTGACGGTACGCATTTCAGATTACGCACATAATCTGCGTACCCGTTATGTGCACCCCTGTACTACAGCAAAAGTATTCTCCGTCGGGACTTCCTGCAACAACACCACGCCGTTATCAAAGATGTTCTATTGAGAAGACGATCACTACGTGACAAAAGTTTTCAAAACCGTGGCTACTGAAATCAATCTGACTAACTGCTGTCTGTGCAATTTACTCTGCGCGAGTTGGCAGACTTTATTTTGCTTCCTTTAACATCATTTTTCATGGTGGGGCTAAGCCATTTCTTGGTATGGGTGTAGCCTACCCCAGCCATACCCTGGCGCTGCCACTGGTGGCACGTATGGGGCGGGCCATTCTGCACATGCGTTAAATGCGTTAAATATTTTAACGCAATTAATTCAAAAAATTGATTACCGCCGTTAACGCGATAATTTTGACAGCACTAATTTTAAGTTTTCAGAGTAATTGTTTCCTACAGAACATTTTGTGATGTCATTTTGTTGAACCTGTTTGATTGGAAAATGTTAGAAAAAAGCTGTAAGATAACAGTATTCTAGCTGTAGAACTTTAGGTTCTGTATTTATTTTAGTGTTTGATCATACAAATCTAATAAAAAAAATGTAAACTGTTTTTCTCATCAGAACTTTATTTAAAGGGGACCTATCATGCAAAATGCACCTTTGGACGTCTTGTATACATGAATATGTGTCCCCGGTGTTCCAGGGAACTCACCAAGTGTCAGAAAACACAACCCTCTCTATTTTCCTCCTTCGCCAAATCTCTAAAAAAGTGGCTGAAACGGATCTGAAAAAAACGGATCCAGATTTCAACACTTTCCTACGTCACAAAGAGACGTGCTCCGCTTATTGGTCAACTCTCCACCTATCAGGGGAATGAGCCACGGCCACGTGCATTGCCGGGATCAATACCAACCATCCGGGAGCAGGCCAGTGAGGACACATCCAATTTTGAAGCTGTAAGTTTTTATTTAGCGGTGTTTTTCCTGATAAAGCTATCTCTAGCTTGTAGTATGTAGCATGTAGCATGTAGCTTCGCCGTATCAATGTCGCCTCAAACCCAAATAGTAATCGGTTAGGTGTTTATATGTTTTTATAACATTTTATGTTGTACGCTCCGCAGTCTTTGCTTTGTCTTTTATTTTAATTATCAGGCATTTGCTAACATGTTCAGACATACTGCAGTAATGGCGATCTGTGTGAAGGCTGTAAAGCCACGCCCTAGCCGATAACACAAGTATTTATTCTCCTATTTATTAGTATTTTGTATCCTCTAAAATCATATTGAGTAAGTTATAATAACAAACGTAATCTTCTGTAGGTAAGTGCCGTTTTTTGCAGCGTTATATGTAAAAGCTTTTGTGATTGTAGTCTGTAAGAACGATCAGATCTGTAAGCTAAGCTACGCTACGCCAATGAGACATGCCGTTTTTTGCAGCGTTATATGTAAAAGCTTTTGTGTGTTTACTTGTTTGCGCACATGAATATAAATGGGGGTGTGTGAGGATACAACACTGTGTATGTATGCGAGGGGACACACACACCACGAGTAAAACAGAACTAAAGCCCCGTTGGTCTGTTGTTGTTGACGAGGCCTTACCTAGCAACAGGCTAATTAGTGGCTAGCACTCATTACAGTCAGTCTACTGAGCTCAGCCCCTCTCCAACATATCATCTGTATTGAGTCAGAAACACAGCATGCACGTTACGGTTCAAAACTAACTCAGATTGGAAAAGGCTAAGCAAAGAGCTTTGCTAAATAGAGAGTTTTAAGCCCCATCTTTTGGGATTTCAGACTATATTTATCCAAATAGTATTTTCTCATCCTGAATACTAAATTGAGATGATTTTGTTCTAACTATGTTTTCTTCTTTACAGGCCAGCACCTCACATACTTACTAATTAGTGACAATTTGTACATCCTTTGCTATTATTTACATTTTTTTTATCATGGCGGAAATGAAAGACTGTACCTGGCAGCCCTGCACTACAATGAAAACGCTGAGCGTGCACAAGCCACTACATCCACTGGAAACCCTCTATATAAACTGCAGTTCCCAAAGGCCAGGAAGGGAGAATGCAGAGCAAAACCAGTAAAGACTGACCCCGCATTCCGTAAGTGTTTAAAATATTTATTATACAACTATTTACAAATATAAAATTAGAAAGAACTTTCAGTTTTTTACATGCATATACTAATCTAAACCACATTTTTTGTTGTGCTTTTTTTTAAACATTGCACAGGCTACGTGGCCAACTTGATGGACCTCATCTTCGACCAAGTCTTTGTGGACCCTGCACCATTATGAGCGACCTGACAGGGACGAGGTCATCGCCGGGTATGCTACACGGTTCAATTTGGCTGCTGTCTGAACCCAACATCGACATTTTGCGGATCAGGAAACTCCTGCCTCCTTGAGGACAACGCAGGCCGGAATCACCACTCTGATCCTGCGTCCAAGGAAGCCCCAGCACCAGCTCACAAAGCTTCTGTAGGCTAGATACCTGTGACGCCTGAAATCATTAAAAAAAATATTTAGTGTAATTTATACAAAATACAAGTACATTTCGTTTTTTTTTATGGGTTCAAAGAACCGTTGATTTTGACAATAAAGTTCCGAGTTGATATCAAATGTGTCGTGATTATTCATGTTTGGATGGGTAAAGAATATTCTGATTTCAAAAGCATAAGGTTGTGTGTGGACTTTTTTTGTCGTACACATGGGTGTGTTATGCCATTGCTGTGTAATAATATATATATATATAATAGTACATGTACAATGAAAGATTGCATAAAGCCATATACACCAGTATTTATTTCCATGAACAATATTAGCATTCGTTTTACAATTTCAGTCAAAAGAAACAAACCACTCACTGCTCTATTTGCCTCAACTGTAGTCCACCATGTTCAGCTCTGTAAATATTCAATGCATTCTGCAGGGAGAACACATTCAGGCACACAGGCTCCAATCCAGGATGGTCCACCATACAGGTTACAGAGTCCTCAAGTTCCTGCATCCGTCTTGACACCTAGTGTGATAAACATATTGAATGACATGTTAAAAATGCATTCTCTAAACAGACAACTTAGTGAAGCTATCAAAAATGTTACCTGTGGTATCTCCATGCAGCACACATTCTCCGTTCAGAAGGCATCGTGCCGCAATTTGCACATGTACACCTGTAGAAAGAAGTCAATAACTGAGCTTTTAAAAACACATGAAACTACACACACTGCTGACAACTGAGGTGTTGTTGGAGTTATACTTTTTATCACTAAGTTATTGAACTTTCCAACGGTTGTTGCACGATGTTGGAAGAAAAGGGGTGTAAACTATTAATAAACGCAATGAGGCCATTGTATATATGCTGAAAATATGAATGTCTCCCTTTATAAATATATATATGTATCGCTGTTTTTGCGTTACAAGCTCTAAGTTATAAACTGTACACATAGCATTCTTGCTAATTAGCCAAAATATAAACGGAATAAGTAGCAATCATCGTAACAGAGTAAAATAAATAGGAACAACAGCTTGTCAACTAACCATTCAGAAACGTCCTGCTGCAACCGAGATTTTTGCACCTCCACCAAAACCTCCGCTGCTTCAGGGTCAATCTCTGGATCAAATTGATAATACGCTTGAACACATGCATTGCTTTGAGATGACATGTTTATTCCACACTCGTAATCACAGAAAGCATGGTAACGTGACTCTCGCCGGCGCATGCCCCGCTCTTCTGCAGGGGGCGTGGTCAGCTGCTGCTCAGAATTTTCAAAGACAGGCTTGGAAAAGAGCGAAAATGAGCGAAACGAGGCATGGCTAAACAATGATCTGTTTGGTATTTTGAAAAATAAAATGTATAAATATACCTTATATAGGTATGGTCATACACTATATCATTTAAATATAGCATGATAGGTCTCCTTTAAGGTATTTTAATGTAACAATTTAAGACAATGGATTTTGAAAAGAGAGGAAAGTTTCCTCTAAAATCTTTAAGGACAATTTCTGTATACTAATTGCTTTTGCACTTTATTTCAGTTAATGTACTTTTACTTTAA